GTTAGAGCTTTATTTTCAAACAAATAAACTCAATTGCATTTAGCTTGGTTGGGCTAGATCCCCTTTGAAAGTCATGGCTAAGGGTGGGACTTCCGGTCAAGATGGAGGCATAGGTAAACACAGCTCGCCTCCTCACAGAGCCACATCAAAATTACAACTATAACAAAGAAAAACCGACACTCACAACATCAGAAATTGAGTTGAATAGAGTTCTGACAATTACAGAATTAAAGAAACCATATCCATCCAGACTGGTAGGAGGGGTGGAGATGCAGGACGGGCTGGTACCACTTCCCTGTGTGGTGGATAAAAATTTGGGAGAGATATCTCAGGCACAAGGAGTCCCAGCCCCACAGTAGGCCCCTCGGCCAAGGATTCTAGTGCCAGGAAGATAAATCCCCATAACTTTTGGCTGCAAAAACCAGTGGGGAAGAGTCAGGAAGAAACTTCTGGAGTCCCAAGAAGTTCCCCTTAAAGAACCCACACATAAACTTACTCAGACTCTCTCCCTCTGAGCTCCAGTACCGGGGAAGCAGCTTGAAAGGCACCAGTGGTACACAAGGAGGAACTGAAATGTCTTACATCAAGGTGGGAGCTGGGGGGCAGCTTTCTTCCAACACAAAGGCAAGAAGAGGCCCCTGTCCCTTTGCTGAGCTCTACCCCCACAGAGCTACAGAGCTGGCAGGTGGGTGCCATATGTGAGTCTCCATTATCCTAGCTAACACTGTTTACTCTGCCCTGAAGATCCCCTGAGACTCTATCCCACTCAACTTACTGGCACTCCAAAACTGTTAACAGTGACCTTTTCATATGAATGGCTAGTGTTGGCTCATTTGTCACAACTTCCTCTCAAATGAGCATCAGGTAACCTCAGTGAGCCCCCAGCCCATACCTCTTGCTAAGTGGCCCCAGGTCCAGCACTAGCAGCAGCCACCCTAGATTCACAGCTTGGCTTTACCAGGAAATCTCCAAGCCCAGCACAAGTTGCAACCATCTCAGATTGCTTTATAACTCAGGCAGGGTGGCCTCAGGAAAATCACAGGTAGGGGCTGGCTGATCTTGGCCTGTACCCCAGAGCCTATTACTACTATTGTAGTAGTGCTATTATAGTTGTGCTTGTTCGGTATTTCTTTTACCTATTTGGAATCTGGATTGTTGGCTTTATCACTTCTATTGGGGTGACCTTAAGTAAGTTACTACAGCTTTCTGAACCTCAGTTTCATCGTCTGGAAACTGGGGATAACAATACCCAGCTCACAGGCTTGTTGTAAAGATTAAATGAGATGGTACAAGCAAGGAGTCCAATGCTTGGCACACAGAAAGAACTCAGTAAGTATTGGCTACTCTTTTTAGTTTATCCATGGAGTAAATCAGGGATTAACATTACTCTTTTATTCACACAAAAGGGAGTGCTCAACCACCTTGTCTCAATAGTTGTCTCTCTTTTTTTCATCATAATTTTAATGCTTTAATAATCTCCACATCTCCATTATCACTTTTATTATTTCTTTCTTTTTTTCCTGGATTAGTCTTGCTGAAGTTTTTCTAATTGATTCTTGACTTTTCAAAGAATCAGCCTTTGGTTGTTACTGGTCAAGTTGAGTCTTTTTAAAAAAATTCCCTACATTAATTTCTCTCTCTATCTTTTAAAATTAGTAATTATCTTGCAGAATAAAGATAAAGGTAGAAATTAATTTTAATTTGAATTTATTAATTATAATAGATTTTACATCCATCTGAAAAATAGTGATATAGAGGAGTGACTGTATACTTTATCTATAATACTTGATATACCTAAGGGACATGGACCCCGGGAGGAGCTTCTGCTCTAATCTTTATATCCTTCTACTTTTTTTGGATTTACTTTGTTTTCTTTTTCAGGTTTTTTCAGTTTAGAGCTTGGTTCATTTGTTTTTACATTTGCACATATTCTGTTAAATGAATTCAAAGCAATACATTATTTTCTAAATACTGTTTTGGCTGTATCCTATAGTTGCAAAGTGGCATATATAGAAAAGCAACTTTACTTACTTGGTGGAAAGTTTTTATTGACAATTTCCTTCTACTATCATTTAATACTGTCATTTGGCATTGAAATGTTTTTTGGTTGTTTACTAATAGGCCAGGAGAGTGAAAGTAATACTAAAAATCCCTATGGTCAAGGAGCTTACAATTTCACGGAAGACAAAAAATCAGATGAATTCTGAGTGCTGAAAAGTTTTCATCATAATTTTTTTTCACTTTCTCTGGCTTAGAATTTTAGCTTGTCAACCTACAGTTAGCATAAATTTGAAGAAGAGAAAATACATGAAAGATGGCGGGTAACCATTCATATTCAACTATAGTTAAATAAAGTTAGCAGTGGCCATGGTGTAGATCTGTTACCTGGGCTTATTAACTGAACTGTAATTGTTTTTCTGAAAAAGTTGCTAATAAGAGTTTTGGAACGCCCTACAAATAATCTATTATTTATGACAAAGGTTCTTAATTTGGGTCTGTGAACTTTGATGAAAAAGTGTATATATATATCATATAATGTAGATATGAATATACATAATATATACTTATATGTAACATATATGTATATTTGTTTTTTTCACTATCCCACAATAGAAAATTAGCATTTCTTATATTATGAATGTAGCTAATATTAACAACCTGTGTCTTTGCCCCTAGTAGAAATCACATATAGTTACTACCACATAAAGGTTGTTGCAAATATCTCAAAATGGCACATAATGCTTTTTATGTGCATCACTACAGCAAAATTTCTGTAGGTCTTAGTCTTGTTATAAAATGCATTAATAAAGAATCAGGTATATAACTACTAGTTCTGTATGGCTATGTAACAGATTATACCCAAAATCATTGGCTTAAAACAACAATTATTTGTCTCACAGTCTCTGTGGGCCAGGAAGCTGGCATGGCTCGGCTGGGTTTGTTGGTTCAGGGTCTTTTACCAGGCCACAGTGAAGGTGTGAGCTGGGGCTGCAGTCATCTCAAGGCTCACTTGGTAGAAAATCTTCTTCCATGCCCACTTACGTGGTTGTTGGTAGGATACTCATAGGTTGTTGGACCAAGTGCCTCAATTCCTTCATGACTGTTGACTAGATACCATTGTCAGTTCTCTGCCACATGGACCTCTCTATAAGACAGGTCACGGCATGGCAGCTGGCTTCCGTCAGAATAAGTAAGACAGCAAGAAAGGATGAACAGCATGGAAGCTAGCGGTTTTGTAACCTAATAACGTAAGTGACAACCCATCACCTTTGCTGTATTCCCTTTAACAGAACCAAGCTCTAGGTCCAGCATAGACTCAACCCAGAACAGGACTACCAGAAGGTGAGGATTATTGGGAGTCATTTTAGAAGCTGCCTGCCGCATATCTATATCACATGTTTACTTTTAGTATATTGATAACTGTATATTAACATAGTCAATTTCCTTTGCAGTTTATGTTTTGCATTTAAGAACACTATTCTGAAAAAGGGTCCATAGATTTCAACAAGCTTCCATTTGGACACATAGCTCTAAATTTGTTTCAGTTCAGGCACCTTCAATACCTCCTGGGAGAATATGTTTATAATGGCCTCAATTCAGAAACTAGAGGTCAAAGTTTAGCCTATCAGATTATTATCCTAATTTGATACCCTGTACTAGTCCATGTTACTCTAGTGCTATGAAAAAAGTATGACACATTTGAAAACATAAAGTTGCTACACTCCAGAAACTGTACTCAATCCTACCCACTTGAATTAGTACACACACACACACACACACACACACACACACACACACACACACAGGAGAGAAAGGCATATGTTGAATCACAATTAGACCTCCTTATGGTTGTATATGACAATTGCCATTTTAGCTTCCAAATGATTAGATGATATATGTGGAACTGATTTCCCCGAAAATATACTAATTACTGGACTAGGGCTTTTTCCTCTACTTAGCTAGGTATAGAAAAGCACAGAGTGTAAAAAAAGAGAGAGAAGTGATGTCGAGCATGGTTCTTCCCTAAGTCGTCGGCATACATCCCCCGCTCTTGGTGAAACCAAAGATAAATTTAGCATTGCTAAATTAATACCAGCACGCATAGTACCAACTTTGTGAATTATCTTAGTAGTTTAAAAGCTAAGAGTACTTTATAAAATCTCCAATATTCAGATAAAAAAATTTGTCCATGATAACTGGGAACAGCTCTCTTATTTGTTTTGCCCAATAAGTTTTCTCCTACAATGCAAATGCACCGTCTTCCCAAAACCTTCACTTCTGCGTCATACTACAGGGAGGCGATTTTCCTCATAGTTCTCTGAGCCTAGTGAAAGAGTATCTCAGTATTGTCAGTTATTTTAGATTTTCCAAGATAACGCAGGCAAAGTTTTCATGTTTGTCATCACATTTTTTGCAGATTTTCCAAATGTGAGGCCCTCTCGAGTCTCAAGAATTGAGCCATAGTGAAATGCTAAAGGGTCAGGGAACCAGGGTGGCTCCTAGATCTCATAGATACTGACCAAAAACAACTTGGTCAAACAACGCATCTTTGTTGACCATATTTTCCTAATCTGAAAAATGTGTGATTTATGTATATTTATTTCTCAGCTCCTATTTCTAACATACTTTGCACTGCATTGTGAAGTCTTGGAAAAAACTCTGACCACATTCAGGACAAGTAACTAATGTGACAACACACTGGGCTCCTCGCCAGAGGCCAGAACCAGCTCTGAGTAAAGAAGAGAAAGGAGATGAAGTTGATGAGAGTGGCAAGTGGTGACTCTCCAATCAACTCTTCCAGGGCCAGTCAAAAAAGAGGTGGGTGGGGCAGGAGGTCGGCATTGACGACAGAAGGCTACTTCCGGCTGTGGTGCGTATGATGTCAGGGCCTAGCCGGATGGCCCAGCCACCGAGAAGCCGAGGAGGGAGGGATCGCGAGAGTTCACGGAAGCTACCCCGAGATTCCGGCGCGGCCGCCAGTCCCACCTCTCGGAGGCGGGGCGAAGGCGGAGCTGACAGAAGGGAGCGGACGGGCGCCTGGCCGCCTGTGGTCCGTGCGTTGGCTGAGCCGGCCGCGGGCGCGACCGGAGGCAGGTGAGTGCGCGGATGCAGCGCTCGGCGGCCGGGGCTAGGAGCGGGGCCGGGCTCGCCTCACCTCCAGTAACTCTGCGAGTAGAAGGAAGAGATCTTATGTCTTTGGGTGTCCAGGGAAAGCCGGGGTAATTTCGATATTGGTAATATCTCTAGTGAAGCTTCGGCCACGGCCTTGGCCCTCTTGTTCCCCGGGGTAATATTGGCCCCGTGTGCCTGGAGAGGTAGCCTCGAGCCTGGGGAGGAAATCTTTGTCCTTCCTTGCTCTTCTCACCCTTCCACTCGTCGGCCCTCGAGCGCCCGGCTCCAGGTCCATGCCTGGGCTTGGTAAACAATAACAAATGTCGTGGATTCTCTCCTGCTATCTCCCGCTCTCCCGTCTCTTGCCCTCCGGCCGATGTCACCGAGAGGAAGGATTCTAGGCATGGCTCTTAAATTGTGGGGGCTATTTGTGTACCATTCCTAAAAACTGATGCGTCAGATTGCTAAACATTTTTCAGACAGTAAAGCCGCCCAGCTCCCAGAAGCCACGGAGTACTCAAAATCGGTCCCTACCACTGGAACCGTCGACCCTTCTTTGGACATCGTTTTCTCCCGCTCCCTTTTTGCACCTTTACTATCGCGAACAAATGACTAGTTGCTTAGTATGCAAATAAGAAAGGTTGTCCCCGATCGAGTAGGAGACATTTCACCTTTTAGAAAGTTGTCAGGTTGATAGCAGAAGAGCAAACTTTATTTTCAAAACCAGTGGCCTCCCGTTTACTGATGCTACTTTTATGGATCGCTTTTTGGGTTGTAAGTTTAGAGGAAATATATAAAAAGAAATGGGGAGGGGCGGAGGCTGGGTTGAGCTGGTGGTGCTGGAAGTAGGGGCTTGTCCAAAGGTGTGGTTCTGTTCTTCGCTTGATAAAATGCAGAACCAGCGTTCTTGTCTATTTCATGTAACTTCTGGTAACTTTTGCTAGAAGCCAATTGCTCGAGAAAGGCCTGAGTATTAGCCTTACTACGGCTAAAATTCGAGGAAACAACTTTAAGTGTTTTAATTTGTGCCTCCTGGTTGTAAGATGGGGATTGACAAGTGAGACCATATCTTTCTTCCGTTGGGGGTGGATGGGGCTTTAAACTTGTCAGGTCACTACTTTAAAGGCAAGGTCTGTTATTTAAAGCCATTTTACTTACCCAGTGAATGTTTTGGAAGTTCATTGTCTTAATCATATATGTGTATTTAAGACAATGGAAACCTCTTAGTGTTTAATTTGATTTTCTTTGTATACCTCAGGATATATAAAACAATTAAGTTTACTATACTCTTTACCCAGGAGCTGAGAGGTATTGTATGTGGATTAGCCACTCTTGTGACTTTATGAGGGGAGAGAAAGTAGTATAAAATCTTATTAAATTATGATGACATTTGTTTATTGCATAGGTTCATCAAAGTACTTTTATGTGAAAAATTCTGTTCTGAAAAGAAGTACAATGAATAAAAATATTTTTGGTTTGATCTGTCTTAGCTTTTTGCACTTTGCATTCTCCTCCTTAAGATGGCTGATAATATTTCCCATTGGATGGGATGTGTTTAGAATGAGAAACAAATAGGGTGTATTTTTTGTACTCCTTTCAAAAGCCCTGCCATTGGGGAATGAAAAAATTAGAAAAACCATGTTAAATGGGTGCAGTTATTCTTTAGCGATTTGTTTTTGTTTGTTTTAAAGTTGAGGGTCAAATTCAAAGAATCCTAGTTAAAGAATTAAGACTAGGAATATTTGTGTAAGTAAATAGGTGTCTTCAACAGCTTTTATGCTGAGAAATTAATTTCAAAAGGTGGTACATTATAAATACAAAGGAAGAGTTATACTTTGTAGAAAATGGTAACAAAGCAGTGGACTCAGTTATACCAGTTTGTTTTCAGAGGAGTTCTGTTCTAAGTAAGAGCAATGTCATTGTGTTACTGAAGTTGGATAACACTTTAGGATGTGCTTTCTCAGGTAATCCTGGATAAATGGGAGGTGCATGCATGTGTGTGTGGCTCTTTGTTAAAAGCAAAAAGGCACAAATCAAAGCCGGAAAGATTTACATCTTGACGTAAAGTTAAAATGATTTTATTTTAACTCTAAAATAATGTGTAGGGTGAATCAAGCAAGCATATTGTCATCCAGCATCCTCAGGATTACATTAAATCAGCAGATGGGCAAGTTATGATTAGGTTAGAATTGGCATATGCAGAAATTATGCTACTGTATTTTTATATTAAAAACACCATGGGCTTTTGGAATGAGATAATGAAAATAAGCTTTCAAAGCATAAGACACTTAAAAAATAAATTAATGTTAAAAGATATTCTTGATCAGTAGTTTAAAAATATTAAATGAATCATTCTTTCTTCCTCTCCTCCCCTCACCTCGCAAATTTTTGTTTGTCTTAAGAGAATATTTGTCAAAGTGTGACCGGTGCACAGGTTACATAAAGCTCCTGTCTCCAGGTAAAGGTTTGCTAATTAACAGGATATTATTATTCAGAACCTTTAGAGAGAGAGAGAAATGAAAGGCAACAATGAACAATATTTACTGTCCATTACACTCAGATGTGGTCTCTGTCTTCAAGGAGATATAATCTATTGGGAGGGATTTATATCCAAATAACTAGAATACACAGTGCATTTTGTGGAGAAGTCAAAGAGGGGGGGATTAAATTCCACTAGACCAAATAAGGAAGGCTGTGAGTAAGGAAAGGCATTTGTGTAGATGATTTGGATGATCTAATCATATGATAATCATAATAAGCAAACACTTCATATAATGCTATTTGCTGATAAACCCTTACATGTAGTAATTTACCTGTATTTAAGCCTTCCAACAACCACATGAAGTAGGTACTTGTATTATTGCCATTTTGCAGGTGGGGTACCTGAGGTAACCAAGGTCAGATAACTAGAAAATGGTAGAACAAAGATTGCAACCAAGTCATACTGGCTTGAATCTGTATCCCTGTCCTTAATCATTCTCATTTTCTCTCCCATTCTTGATGATCATTCTCAGGTATGTAGTTCCAACTAATTGATTTGGTATAATACATTTTTCCTGGCACCTAAATTTAGAGATCAATTTTCTAGAAAGAGCTCCAAAATAATGAAAACCCAGGTAAGTAAGTTGTTTTCGGCATGTTAGATATTTGATTAGTTTTTAGAAGTTGCTCTTTGTGCAGATTAATGGTAACCATTGAGTGAGACCTTTGATAAATTTGACTTAGTACTTAGTAGCATACACATAAAGATTTAGAAATGAGAAGTTAAAACTATATTAACTTCTTTGCCTGATGGAATTTTGAATCATATATTTTGGCTTGTAATTTTTAAAAATCACTTGATACTGGTTATTTTTTTGGATTGAATTGTAAAGTTGGAATTTATTTAATGATCAAATGTCAGTCTAAGCCCTTTTAGTTGTTATTTCCACAAACAGCTAAATTTATAATGCCTGATTCAGGGTTTTGAATAGAGTGTTGTACATGTGTAAAATGAGAAACATTCAGTCGCTGATACTTTATGTTAGGGCAACTTGAAAGCTCTTTGGGATTGTGAAATAAAAGGTGCTATAGAAATGCGCTGTGCCTAGCATAGGCCTACTCAGTAAATGCTGCTTTGTTGGAATGGTTCAGTTGATTTTATTGATGAAGTTTCAGGAATAGTTCACATTTGTTCTTGGTTATCTAAGTATTGGCATCAAAATAAACTCAAGTGGATTTAAAGATTAGGGGAAAAAGTATCTAGGCAGTGGTAGGGATATTGCCCATCCTTACCTGTCGAGCAAGAATCGGACCTTTCAGCTCCTTTATCAGTGCTCTGTTTGACTCAGTTTTAAGTAGAATCCCAGAGGCACAGTCTCTTGAATGAATATAAGTGCTCTCTCCTAGTCCAAGTGGGGTAGGTTCTAGAAAATTCCCAGAGTAGGATAGTTCGTGGTTGATGAGCTTAAAACCTAACAGGAAATGTAGCATAACTAGAGTCAGGATATAAAGCCCATGTGTCTATATTATTATAATAAAAGTGGCAAAACAAATTTTTAAAAATATATTTTATACAGAGTTTGCATTAATAGGTGATGGGATTTTATTTGCATTTACTATTTCAACTGACGAAATTTTCAGGATCTAAGCTTGTAATTTCACAATGTTTATAACTATGCTTTGTTATAAGAAAGGTATGTGTTCCTGTAAGTACAGGTTTCATTTTGAACAGTAATTCTTGGTAAAAAAGAAGCTGGGCATACACTCATCTCTTGCTGATAGAAATTTGAGAGGCATCTTTTCCCATAATAGACCAGTTTTGTCTACGATGAAAATGCACTGAGACAGGTAGCCCCCCACCTCACATGGTCTCTGCACAAGTGTTGGGAAGACCTTAGTTACATGTCATGCGGTGAGCTGACCATTCACATTGGTGTTGTGTAAATTCAAGAAGGATCAGACTTTGGCAATTTATCTGTAGCTTATGATAGTAGCACTTGTACTATGCTCAGCTTTTAAATACGTAAGGTCCTTGATGTCCACTGAATTAACACTAGACCAGTTGACAACCAGAACTGATGTTGATTCTCTGGCCAAACATGCAGAAAGGTTCCTGTTTTCTTTGTCTTTTGCTGATTCTTATTGATTCCGCAGGTGTGAATTTTTTGTGTTACTGTATATAAGTCTCTGATCTCTTATGCACAAGGAGCATCCATTGTTTTCTTACCTTTTACATTCACTTGCTCTCTCTACGTCTAATTCAGGAGAGTATTCTGTTCTACCTAATTTTGGAACACTTTTATTGCTTTTGGATTTACTTAATATGATGGAGTTAATAATGTTTAACACCTCAGAATCAACCACAAATACAACAACTTCCCCAGATTAAAGAATGAGATGGCAGAAACATAAATGGCTGTGCATGGTTGTTAATACCATCTGTTTTTGGCAAGCAGAGTTGTTGTGCCTTTGCTGTGGGGTCTAGCTTTTGTTCTATGAAAATTTAGGAAACTGAAAGTTTGGAAACAGAGAAGCTTCTATGTACTTCAATAAGCACATTTTTAAAATTTTATTTTAATTTTTGATTCTGTTCTCCTTCCATACAGTCATTGCTATTCTGCTTTTATGACTTGGAGATATTGGCTTCGGTTCTTTAGATTCTTCAGCAACCCTGGAGACACAGTAAGTAATTTGGACATTTAATGTGAAAAATACTTTATGCAATCTATGTTTCTCAAACTTTGTCTCTCAACAGTAATATACAAACTTAATTCTCTGTATATCATCTTCCCCTCTGACATGTTTTTGGCTCTTTTTTCTTCCTACATGTCACCAGAGAGGTAGAGGTGTAATAATAATTCAACCAACAACAGTAACCATTTACGTATCACTTACTATGTACCAGACATAGTGATAAGTACTTCATATAAATATTATTTCATTTAATCCCCACAGTGATCCTATGAGGTATCATCTCTACTTAAAAATGAGAAACCTGGAGCCTAGCCAGGTGAAGTGACCAGGGAGGGTCACATATGTAGATAATAAGTGGAAGAGTTAGAAATTGATCCCTAAGATCTAGGTTTGCCTTCTCTTGTATTGCTCTATTTTATTACAAAAACTTCCCCTTTGCTATTTAGTTTACAATACTTCCTTCTTTTAGTCTCACCTGAGTTATCTTTTTTTCCCTCTCTTCTCGCCCTTTTTTTAGGAGTTATTTACAGTTTTGCATATCAAACATAAATTCTCTTGGGAAAAATATACAGAAATAATTCAGCTCTATTCAAATTTCCTGTAGAGGACGACTTGGTCTTGGAGAGAGCTTACTGTAAGAATAATACTAGTAACACCTTATTTTTATTGTGCTTTAAAGTTTTATAAAGCATTTTTATACGTCTTCTTACTTAATTCTAATAGCAAACTTAAACTCAGATCTTTAGATTAAAAGTTGCTACAGGCAGTTTGGTAAGGATTCCACAAAGTTAGTTGATGAGACACAGTTTTTGCCCTCAGCAATTTTAATGCTGAAATAAATGATATAATCAGATGTTCTGACTTCATTCTAGCCAATTAGGAGCAGATACATATCATTACAGCACAGCATTTTCTTAAAAGGTAGTTTTGTTTTTGGCCAAAATTGATAGGTTGGAATTTTAGTGCTGCATTTTGTGAAATGTTAAAAGTCTTCAAATTCTTGTGATTCAGTGAGTAATATTTAAGTTACTGTCTAACTCATTCTGCACACAACTGTTGCATTTAAAACTAAAACAATTATGATGAAGGAATAGGTGGAGAGAGGACAGACATGATTTCAAAAGTGCAATTAAAGAATTGGGGATCCTAATAAAGACTTGTTGAGGTTATCTTATAGTAGCACTGTTGCAGGAAATTGGGTGTAGGCTTTATGTATAAAAGCTGTAAGTATTCCCCTCTGGAAAGTTGTATTATGAATATTTATATTGTAAAGAGCTTTATTTAACTCACAGATATCAACTACTGAGCCTAGAAAACAAAAACAAAAACAAACTAAGCAAACAGAACAGGAACAGAATCACTGAAATGGAGATCCCATGGAGGGTTATCTGCGCGGGGAGGACAAGGGGAGGAGGAATAATGGGGGAAATGGTACAGGGAATAAGATGCATAAATGGTAGATACAAAATAGACAGGGGGAGGTTAACAATAGCATGGGAAATGGAGAAGCCAAAGAACTTATATACGACCTATGGACATGAACTAAGGGTGGGGACTGCTGAAGGGAGGGGGGTGCAGAGTGGAGGAGGATGAAGGGGGAAAAATGGGACAACTGTAATAGCATAATCAGTAAAATATACCTTGGAAAATCATAAATAAAAGAGCTTATTTAATGATCCATTTTTTGAAATATTTCCTTGTACCAGTGTCTTATTTTAATGAATTTAATTTTTACTAAGCTGTGGACATTTTTACATAGTGAAGCATTTGCCCACTGACTCGCCCCCATTATGGAAATCCCACATCATATTTACCCTTCCTGATTTTCCGGTACTTGTTAGCAGACGCTGGCTGCCTGGTTTAGAGCAGGAGGGAGTTGCCTTTTGTTGTGTTTTTTCAGTAGAGAGCCATTTCACTTGGACACATCTTTCTAATCTGTTTGAGGATATTCTCCATATATCCACTATTATCTAGCCGAACAAAGTAGGCTTTTTCTATTTTAGTGGCCAGAGTGAAAAAATTTCAGTCTTGAATTGCATGTATTTGACCCATTGGTATTTTTAATACTAGCAAATTCTAAAGGAATCACAGACTCATAATGTTTTAGTGAGGTTAACCATCCTAATTCAGCATTTATCGGCTATTTGCATGGCACTGTGTTAGGTATCATGCAAAATAGAGATGAGTAAAATATATTGTCCTTCCATGTAGAAAGGTTCCATCCAGTAAGAGACATAATATATGGGTACAAACTCAAATAGAAAGTGACAAGTGAGTAACAGCGTACTGGGGGAGCAGAGGAAGGAGAGATTGCTTCTGGCTGGAGAGATTAGGAACCGTATAAAGTGAAAAGTGAATTCACCATTTAAGAGTGAAGGACCTGCCAGGCCAACGAATTAGCATGAGTTGGATATACGTCTATATCACCTGATAAATTATTTACTTATTTATTTAATTATTTACTTCTTTCTCTGCCCTATTAGATTTGAGCTCATTGAACTAAGAAAACAGGTGTTTTTAAGCTTTTCATTCTCTGCATCATCTACTGCTCAACGGGCACATTTAATTAAAGTTGTAATTTAGTAAGATTACAATGGCAGTAGTGTATGTGGACTGGATTCAAGGGAAGAGTGCCCAGAAATTGGAAGACCAATGAAGAGACCAATTTAAATAATCTAGGAAATAAATAATGAAGTCCTAAACTAGGCAAGATTGGAAAGAAGAGACTCAGGTCGATGGGTGTTGAGGCTTAGGGAATTCTTTCCCCCCGTGAATGACTGATGAGGTTCGTCCTGTGTGCCAGGAGGTGCAGTGATGCAAAGATGGTGCTCCGTCAGAAAGCTGGCAGGTGACCACAGAGCCACCCTCACAGGTACAGAAATAATTGCACTAGCATGTTGCGGTCACAGTGAAGGAGCAGTGAGTGGAGCACTTAAGGGAAAGGAGCCCGGGTTTGGGAGATTCAGAGAAGCTTTCCCTGGAGGTGGTCGTGTTTGAGCTGAGACTTGAAGGCTGAGTTGGAGTTTTTCAGGCCACCAAGCAGTAGGAGGACAGTACAGCATAGAGATGTAAACACTGTTTAGGCAGCCACAGGAACCTGTATTACTTTAGTGTTGGACATGAGTCTGGATAGGAAAAATGAGCTTGTCTTTATACAATAACTGTTTATGTGGCATGTTAAACATACTTATTTTATCCAGCTTTAGCACTCCAAGCTTTTGTAAGTGTTTCTGTTGCCACTTGCAGCCTAGTGGAAGCACCTGGGCTGTGCTCCACCCCTTCCCACAAGTGCACTGCCAGTGATAAACTGTCTCTTGCTTCCTTTGTAAAATTCAACAGAGAGGGTAAGCATACCATTAGCCACAGAGATAAAAAGAGAAAGAAATCCATGAAAAACCTCTTCTTTGATGAATGTGTAGAGTAAGTAGGATTGTATAAAGAGAATGCAGCATCAAAGCATAACTTCAAGAGCACTTGACTTGAGGGAAGGGATTGCGGTAGGAACATAATTATTTACCTTTTCTACAAAGTTTATGGAGCCCTTAAAAATTTCCCAGAACTGTAATACCTAGTGCTGGAGTTCTTTAATTTTGATCCTAATCTTGATTTCTTTTCATCTTCTTTACTTAACCCTTCCTATATTTTAATAACTTAACATGACTCTAAACCTCAAATGGTATCAAGCATTGTCTCGAGTTTCCCACCGCCCCCCCCCCGACCTTTTCTGATCATTCAGAAACCTGCATCTTGCAGATGCAATTTGCAATCATGGTCCCGAACTGTGTATGTATAGCCTGTGTTGGACTGCTAGAGCCGAGAACTCTAGGTTTTTTCTTCACATAGGTTACTTTGTATAGTCATTTATTTTTTCCATTTTGTAGATTGGGCCACTGAAACAATATAGTTAATTTGTTTTTTTGAGGACAACAAGAAGTTAAGACTCCAATTAGAATTTATATTCATTGTACAAGGTCTAGCACAAATAACGCCCCTTTTTTATTACAAAATTATAAGCGTGTACCTTACTATCACATTCAAGTACATCATATGACATTTTAGATGAAATGTTCAAATTAAAACTATAAATTATACACCCATATTATTACCCTACCAACCACACTCAAGCAGGCTGTACTTCTGCCAGACCCTGTATTTCTAGACTTGAGGTTGGCAGTTGTGTTAGCTTTAGTGCTATTAGTGGTAGTAATAAAAGTTTATGGGTACTACAGGAAGGAAAATGAAAGACAAGAACGGGAAAAGCAAAAGAAGGCTTGCAGAGCGGTGGGAGAGGCATGGGGTGGCGGCAGGGGAAACGGTGCATATGGTTAAAAGAGGTCAAGTTTCTCTAACACCTGTTCCAGGTGTCACTGGGTGGGACCAGTGCCATATTTTAAGATTAAGTCAAGCTGCCAGTAATCCTGTCTAGAAGTACTCTGGGTGTATTATTATGCCAAAAATGATAGTTTGTTTTGATAAAATATTTTTGGATTTAATTAAAAAAATGTGTATGTACGTGTGTTTCTGTGTTTTTAGAATTGAGCAGAAAGGGCAAGAGAAACCAACACACTGTGAAATAGTGAAAATTATAGGTATGTTTCTGAAATATAAAGCATTTAAGATTTAAAGCCATAAATCATGTATAGTCCTAGGTAGGCAGAAGGTTACAGAAGGGGAAGGGAAGAATAAGTAGGTACGTGTGTTTGGTTAAAACTGTATTCTCATACCAACCATATAACTGGGCCCACAGAGGGGAAAATGGGGTGAGAAATTCAATCTTGAGTCTGAGCTGTCCTGTCCAGATAATTCAAGTACTCTTTTCCTTTCAGAAAACAGCATTATCAAACATTAAGAAACTAATTTTTCAAAATGTTTTTTCATCATTGGACTAACAAAACCAAGGAATAAAAATGGTATGCTTTTAGTTTTTCTGAATGGTAACCAAAAGTTACTTCTCAGATTGTAAGAAATACTGTACTGAACTAATGTCT